GTAATATGAAGTCTTATACATATCTTAGAGGTTAAAATTTCTTGATTTGGAGAGTCTAACATACACTTGCATTATGTTAGATTCCTCTGTATGAAAAACATTCTGATAATATGCTTTTATGATTATGTGTATGGGCAAAGGTGATCATTTAATACATGAAAATCAGGTTAAAAAAACAAGTAACTTTCATCTACAGAGCACTTATAACTTTATAAAAGATTTAGCTTTTGTAGTTTAATATCAAATGCTATGGTTCTATTGTCTGACTTGGTTATGTCTCATCTGTGAAACACATAAGAAAATGGAGACACTTGAAAGTAGTAAGTTGGTTGCATTCAACCACTGTTGGGAGAGACAGGATTGACTCCCGTGTCTTTGGCACACAGCCTTATAGCCTGAGTTGATTATTTTTTAGAAAATTTATTTCCTGTTAACACAGATTGATTGGGACCTTACTGTGGGCAAAATGTGGGACAGATGTAACGTGATAGATATGCTCCTGCATTATAGGACCATTACTACATAAGTGGAGCAGGGTAAGATTTCCACAAGGAACTTATGAAGACTAAAGCAGTGTACAATAAGTACTAAAACAATAGTATACACAGTGAGCCCTGTGTTAGTCATAGGAGGAGGTGGGAGCACCAGAGATGCTGACTATAAACAAAGTTCCCTAGAAGAAAGATTTCAGAGCTTCACTGTAAAAGAACCAAAAGGGATAAGTCTCATATACCACAGGGAATTCTTGCAATTATCCAGGTCAGTCGAATGATTAAGATGGTCTTTTAGAAAGAAATATTTGGTAATCGCAATGTCTTTTACATACTGATAACTTGTCGGAAATTCACACTCCCCCGCCATCCCATCCCCACTGTACCCATTTTTTTCTGGATAGCTTCTATTTTTCTTTATGACCAACTTTGGCTTTTAGACAGCATTTATGATCTCTCTATGCCAGATCCATAAACATCTTCCTTTCTCCCTGCTGGGAAAAGTTCTTTTAAGATTTTGTGTTTATTTCTTCAAGGTCCTTGTGCTAACGCTGTTTTCTTGTTTTCCCATTGGCCTGTAAACCTCTTGAGGATTTATGCATGTTTCTTCTCTATGATCCCAGCACAAAGCAAGAGTTTGAAAAATGGTAGTTGTTCAATCAATGTTTGTTGCTTCAAACTAGAAGTAGTGATGTTCTGAATGTGGAAAAAAGGGACAGACTGAAATCCCAAAGATCATTTAAGAAAACACTGCAGAGATTCAGGCATTAAGTAATGAGTGCTTAAAGGGAACAGCTTTACCTGGGGGAGTAACTGGTGAAACAGAAAAACATTAATGGAATGTATGACTAGATACAGGCCATGAAAGAATAGCTTGGTTTGAGGGTCTAAGCTTGATTTGCTAAGAAAATGAAAGAGCTATGATTTCTCATTCCTTTGTAGCGGTCTTTAACTGGACACCATGGATTTCTGGAGAGTCCTTGAAATCAATAAAATTATTACTGATTTATGCACGTAAGGTCAAATTTGCATTTTCCTTGGGAGAGGCTTAATAGATGTCATCAAATTTTCAGAGGTCTGGGTCTTTACACTTATTAAGCACTACAGTTCTAGTCAAGAGTAAATATAAAAATAACAGGCATGGGGCTGTGGATGTGGCTCAAGTGGTAACGCATATGTGGGGTGCTGGGTTCGATCCTCAGTACCACATAAAAATAAAATAAAGATGTTGTGTCTACTGAAAACTGAAAATCATATTTAAAAAAAAATCTCTCTCTCTCTCTCTCTCTCTCTCTCTCTCTCTCTTGCTTCTCTCTGTCTCTTTAAAAAACAAAAATAACAGGCATAGTTTTATCCTAATGGGTATGATTCTTTTTCTGATAGGTACATATTGAATGATGTGGCTGGCATTTCATAGTATATTTTATAAACCATTAAAACCAAATAATGGAAAATAGAATATATTGAAGACCCAAGAGCTTTGCCACCCTTTAACTATAACTTTAATCTAGTCTCTTTATTGATCTAAGATTCTTGTTTTACTGTTTAGGTGGAAGAATAATAATACATGCCTTGTAGGATTGTGGTAAGAATTCCATGAGATCATGTGTATACAATTTTAGTGGTCAATATTAACTCTTTCTATTATTTGTATTATTAATCTCATTGAATTCTGGCATTTGGTGAGCATAGAGCTGCCCGCCTATCTTTAATCCTTTCAATAAATTTGATAGACATTGAGTTTTATACTCAGGTTATAGGTGAAGTGCACACAGGTGAATGCCTGGCCTAGATTTACATAGGTAATAAATGGTGGAGAAAAAGTTGCAAGAGGACAGCTAAAAGTCAGAAAAGAGATGTCATGTGAGGCAAGCATGAGGGGTGCCCAGACAAAGCAAGTGGTCAGTGATAGAGCAATATCAAATATTTGGAGCAGCTGTACAGGACTTTTCAAAGGACAGAACATTTGCCCTAGGAACTAAAGTGTCACATTCTTGCTGGATTAGAATCAAGTCCCAGGGGGTGGCCAGCCTTCTATCTGTAAGTGGGTGAGTGACAGTTATGCATGGGTGAGAGGTAGGGAACATGAGAAAAATGAGTTGGAATACAAATATGAATATATCATTATGTATAATGATTGCACGATGCTCAATGACCTACTGAACACTGATAAAAATGGGAATAATAAGAAGTATATATTAAATGTTGTTAAGATATGTTTCATATGTGATAGAAAGTATTTTTAATTCAGCCCAGGAGGCTCAAAGGGTATTTCACCCCTACAACCTACACATATGCACATAACCTAAGGAAGTTGGTTGGCAGGGGACCAGAAGCTGGTATGCACCCACATAACAGAGCAGGCCCAGAACTGTCAAGAATTGTGTTGTATTTCTATTTGTTTTATTATTTATTTATTTATTTATTTTTGGTGCTGGGGATTGAACCCAGGGGTGCTTAACCAGTGAGCCACATCCCCAGCTCTTTTATATATTTTATTTAGAGACAGGGTATCACCGAGTTGCTAAGTGCCTCACTAATCTGCTGAGGCTGGCTTTGAACTCTAAATCCTCCTGCCTCAGCCTCCTGAGTTGCTGGGATTACAGGAGTGCGCCACTATACCTGGTTATATTTTTATTCTTGTGGGTGACCCTAAGACCTGGTTTGGATATAAATCACACCTCTAGCACCCATCTTGACCTTGAGCCTAGAAAACAACTTTCTCCAGCTACTGCTGTCTTCTATTTGATGGTGATGATAATGCTTACATCCCACAAGGTTTGAGAAGACTGAAGATATAACCTATATTAAGTGCCTCACTCAGAGAAGTGCTCCTTTATACCTGGCTATTCGTGACTTCAATAATTATGGATAATTTGAAATAGACTGCAAATTATACTTTTATTAAATGACTGAATGGATTTCCATTGCTATAGGTTTCTTTGGACTATATTATGAGCAGGGCTATTATTTAAATGACTTTCTCGTAATTAGACATTATTAGAAGTCATAATAAGTCTTGTGGTATTCTTGTCATTATCCTAAAATTGTTGGACTATTACACTAAAAATAGTCAATTTGTAGGTGTATTAGAAAATATATATTTTCACCTTTTAGAAGCCCATACTCCATTTAATTTAAAGAATATGATAATAAAAATAGAAAAAAAATCTCAAAACCATCATGTTGCATTTTATCATTCCTAGTAAAAAGTTACAAGGAAGAAGTTGAAAATAGTTGGCGTACAAGAAGCTATTTTCATTATAAGTAGATTTTAATATGCATGTTGCACCTGTTCCCTGTTAGCTGGGGTTCTGAATGAGTTAATGTCTCCCAAAAGTATGCATTATTTTACCAGGAAATAATTTAGACCCAGTAAAGTTCTATCACAGCATGTTCATTGTTTTGAAGAATTATAATTAAGAAGCTTGTTCAGTATTTGCCAATGAAAACAGTGATTAGACTGATTGCCCAAGCTAATTTCTAGCCCCAGAAGTGAGCTTACCTGTTAGATAAGCAAGGATCCTTGAGTAATAGCGTCTGCATCCGTACACTGGTGTTTAGGGGCAAATGCCTGTCAGGCATAAGCAAAGATGCTTATCAGGAGTTGCTGGAAATTTCACAGATGTAGAATCATAGATAGTTTCCTGTTTAGTAATGTTACATTAGTCTTTTCATTTATGAACAACGTTTCTAATCTAATTTTGAAATGCTTTAAGCATTTATGAAACAAAAAGTACTAGCCTCCTTCCCTTTTTATTTACATAAGATTCAGTGATTGCTGAATTCCATTATGTTGACATGGGTGGTGAAGTTCAGTGCCTGAGAGAATCTTTGAGATTCTCTGGTCATAGGTGAGGAACAGAGGGTGAGCCAAATACTGGAGTCCTATTTCCCTGCTATGGAAGTACCACCCCAACCCAAACTTTCTGTAAGTTTTCTTTCCTTTCCTTTGAAAGAACTCTGTTCCTTCTCTGACCCATTTAAAGGGTCCATTGGGAAGATATTAGGTGTGTCCATCAACTGAAAAAGCTACATCAACTGTGACAGTGGTGGGATGGTTGACTGGTTACAAACGCTGTCTGTACTTCAGTAGCCAACAATCTTCCCCATAAACTGTGGACTCCAGTTTTCTGCAAATGGTATCCTGGATGTCTGCCAGGAGCCATCTTTGATGGCTGGAGGGAAAATCTACACTTCTTAGAAAGAAGCTAGCACTGAACATTTAGATAGAATTGTTGTGCTGGGTAATTGTCACTTCAAAAAATGGAGTATTCTATTCATCATTCTTACCAGCCATTTATGTAGGATGCAAGTTATTAGCAATCCAGTACTGAATGAATGGTGGCACTGGGGAGAAGGGATGTGAAATGTGAAAAAAAACGTAATTGGGAGAATGAAAACAAAAGCTTTCACAGTATAACCTCTTCCAAGTCATCTGTTTTATTAAAAAAGCAGTTTGCTAGCAAATATGTACAGTGTTTCAAGATTTTTCATTTTTTTAAACAGATTTAAAGTGGAACAAACACTAGACTTCAAAGAAGCTTTGTATTCTTTGAACATAACTGAGATATTTAGTGGTGGCTGTGACCTTTCTGGAATAACAGGTAGTATGATGGATAATTTTTCTATTGTCGTGTTAGTTTGTTTTCTTAGTATTAACTAACTGATCTTCGTATTAACTGACTTATCATAAAATTGAAAGGGCCTTCATTCCCAGCATACATATAAACAGTGAATAAATGTTATAGGCATGTTGATCTGTCTGTAAACAAGCACTCTATTTTGCATCTCGGATGTTTTCCTTAATGAAATTCAAAAAAACATTTCACAATATTAGATAAGCATTCTAACCATACTTTCAATAAAACGATATAGGTAAGTGTATTATGTGGGCTGTTATTTCTGCTGTTTGTATTTCTTAATCAGAATAATGGGAATTACAACTTTGAGTCTTTCATCTAAGTAGAGCTAATAAAACTCAAATAAACTAATTTCCGAATGTTAATTCAGTAATATTAGAGCCCATGGAGTAGACATCCTCAAGCTGCTGGATCAAGAAATTGTAATGCTGCAGCTGGCAGATTTAGCAACAGACTCCTTTGGATTGACAAGAATTGCAGAGGGAGCTTTCATGCTAAATTGCACCTGGGGAATTGTGTGTGGTTAAGGAGCTTGCTTGCACAACAATGTCAGGACAGTGTTTTAATTCTTCTGGGTTTGGTTGCACTCAGTATTTCAAAAGACTAAACAAAAACAAACAAACAAACAATTTTTTTTTCTCTAAAGAGAAAAAAAAATGATGAAGAGGGCCAATTTGTCACAAGTTACTCTTTTAAAAATTCTGTCTTATGTGTTATAAAATGACCTTAATGATATAAGCTTGTAAGTCTGGGTTTTGTATCATAGCATGTGGAAATATTGTGGAAATGTTTTGTGTTTTCCTATATAAACATCTGGACTTTGGAGAGGTATTCCTTAATCTAGTCACTCATCAATTATGTGGGTGGTGGAATGGAAGGAATGAGCTTTCCTGGTGGAGAGGTGAATGGGGTTCACAGGTGACATAGATGTTCATTATCACCCTCACACACGATATAGCCAACTTGTTCTCACAGTGCCAGATACATCTGACTTCTTTGACAGTTTCATCAGCACCAGAAATGAGACAGTCAACATTAAATACTACATAGGGTGCTGTCTAAATGTGCCCTGGCACACAGCCACCTCAACAACCTATAATAAACCAAACACTTTTTATAATAAATCAAGCACTTTTTCCTCTTAAACTTCTTTTCAGCCTTAGGAAGCTCACTCAATATACCTTAGACTTTCAAATAGCTATTCATTCTGCAAATTCCTGGCAATTTGTGACTTTTATAACATCTCTTTTTACAGGATTATTCAAGAAAATACTTCCAAAATTCTTCATAAAAATTTTTGTGCAAGAGAATAACCCTGAGCAGAGAAGAATAAATGTTCAGGATTTTCTGCTCTCTTCCTCCTGATTTACCCATTTGAGTTGCTTTAACTACTCTGACTTTGTCTTATTACCTGAAATAGAATAGCTCCAGCCAGTGTTGACACTGCAGCTGGTAGTTAGGAGCATACTACCCTGTTATCCCTACTGATCATTTGTGTCATGAACATTCTCTAAATGAAACTGATCTGGTCCAACACTATGATACGGGACATATACATGAAAGAGGAAGGAGATGCTACCTTATATGCATGCAGTGCACAAGTTTTGAATAAATACTTTTATAAAGTTAGTTTGGAAACGTTGAGATTCATATAACCCTTCAATTGAATCTCAATTCATTCATTGAGATTCAATAACCTTCTCTGCTCAGGGTTATTCTCTTGCACAAAAATTTTAACTTCTCACTCTACTGTTACTTCTCCTGCAAGTTCTAGTAAAGTAATTAACCTTATTGAATCTCCATTTTCTGATGTAAGTGAAATAATATATCTTAGTGACTTTTGGAGCAATAAATAAGAGCATGTAAGTAAATCACCTACTTCACTTAATGCATAGTAAATGCTCAATAAGTGTTGAAAAAATCAAGTGAAAAAGTGTCATATTAATCTTCGCTTTCACATTTTCTATCAAAGCTCTCTCAGTTTTCTCTGGTCCTCTTAATTTAACAGTGATATACTTGGAATTTTCATAGAAATTTAAGAGAAATAGTTGGCACAAAGGCTTAGAAATCAGTGAGTTTGTGGAGTTCGTATTCTTGTCCTAATCTGTCATTTCCACAGTGAGGTGGAATACAAAGCGGCTCAGTCTAAGCCGGAGCTAGTGAGGCTGACACCAGAGCTGAAGTGTGTGAAATTCTTTATTCTTCTACCACCTGCTCTTTAGCTCTTGTTGTGGCTCTGAGGTCATTTACTCTGTGCTTTATTTATGATTCCTGTCTTATTCCAGGTGATACTGGAAGAAGCTGTTTAGTTTTTTGACCTTGGGAATCCATTCTCCTATGTTTCAGTTGATCCACCCTGACGTTGTGGATGCCCTCTTTCCTCCATGTTACAGGTCTCTAACACTAGGCATATTCACATCCTTTGATTAACTTATTTGAGTGGTATTTATTGCAAGCTACTCATGTGCCAGAGGGTTTTCTAGAGCATGTGTCCCTTGACCCTCTGAGGAACACTGTGGGATCTACCTAGTTTTCAAAGCAGACTTGACATGCCTTATAATCTCATGGCTTCCCCTCTTCCCATGTCTCAAAGAGACTATTATTTCAGATTCTTATGCCAGATATGCATCACACATACATGAATGAGTTCCACCAAGGGGAGAAGAGGGACATTACCTCTCGGTTCAAATCCATACCAGAATAAAATAATGTAAGACACTCTCTTGCACTGAAAATTTTAACAGGCTTTAAAGCACAGCTCTGAAGTGATTTTGTAGCAGATGACACAAAAGCTCTTCAGAGTTTCATAGCCTCACTGTCTTGAAGGAAAGTAAATTTTGTTTTAAACTCAGATCAAAACTGAATATGGAATTTAAAAGGCAAGGTGGCTTTGAGGTTGAATACATAAGGTGGGCTTCAATTAAAATCTGGAAAACCTCTTTCACTCTGTCTATAGATCCTGGTTAAGGGGACAAAACCCTTTGTCCATTCAAATATTCCACTTGGTGGGATACCTGGTTTGATGTTTACATTCTTCAATCTTTACCTCATATATCAGGGAGAAACCTAAACTCCATCTGTGTCATGCCTATAAGAGCTAAACTCAAACCATTTTTATCTCTAGAAAATTGACTGAATAAAGAGGAATTCATTATGTTTGATTTCTGTTCTTTGTTCATTTGAAATAAAATTAATCTGGGACTTAATAGGTAATGACTCTTGATTTTAATCTTTAAATATTTAATGTTTTTCATCAGATTCATCTGAGCTGTATGTTTCTCATGTCATGCAGAAAGTTTTCTTTGAGATAAATGAAGATGGCAGTGAGGCTGCAACATCAACTGGTAGGACAAATGGTCTCTCAGCAAACTGGGATGAAGGATGCTGGTCATTTGGTGGTGCTCTGATGTCTCTTTTCTTTGTATCATACTGCAGGGAACAAAAAAGGACAATTCTTTCATAAGTTGTTCATACATCTGTTCAGTAACAGCATTATGCAAAAGGGAAGGGATCTGATTAGGATTTGAGGCTCATCTACTGATATTTGTTCATTTGCAAATTATATTACCTGCCAATTAGCAGATATGACTGATGGAGAAAACCTTAGGGCTCACATACAAAGTCATTATTATTTAAGAGTGCTCAGTCTTAAGTGCTTGTGTTTAATTTCATTCTTTTATTACACAAAGTTTGTCTTCATTTTTTTTCTAATTTGATTGTTGTTATTATATTCATGGCAGGGACTCTCAAACTTAGCTGAATATTAGAATCATCTGGGAACTGTAAAAAAATAAATCCTATGCCCAGACTACACTTCAAAATAATTGAATCAGTATGTCTGTAGGTAAGATCCAGCCTCTAATATTTTCTTGTTTCCCTAAGTAATTCCATTGTGCATCAAGGTTGAGAACTAGTTCTTTCTCCTTGTGGCTTGTGTCTGCCTTTACTGCTACAGATGCAGTGCATAGAATAAGAGCAATGGCATCACACAGGAGCCATTGTTAGAAAGGCAGAGTCTTAGGTTTAACTCCAGACCTACTGAATCAGAATCTGAGTTTTCCAAACTCACCATGTAGTTCTGTGTACATTCCAGGTTAAGAATTATTCCTCTATATTTCACTTCCTTGAACAAATGATATTTTGAATAATATTTATACTGAATATAATACTTGAAAAAAATGGGAAAAACTCTTAAAGTCAATTAAAAATGGGAAAGGAACTGGGCATTTTGGTGCACACTTTAATCTTAGCCACTATGGACACTGAGAGAGGAGGATAGCAAATTCAAGGCCAGCCTTGGCAATTTAGTCAGACCTGTCTCAAAATAAAAATTAAAAGGGCTGGGGGATGTAGCTCAGTAGCAGAGTACCCCTGGGCTCATTCAACTCCCAGTACTGAAAAAAAAATTATATCCACTTAGTAATTTCTTGATTAAATTGTAATGCTGCTTAGGGCCAATGGATTTTGACATCTGGGTGGGACACACTGCACTCTTGCTATCATTTTGTCATCTCCTAAAGGCTTTGCATTGCTGTGCTCAAGAAACTGAGATTGTAGGGGATGAGCTATATCAATCCTTCGAGAGATCAGAAGAATGCATTTGGATGAGGTTGCTGGCTCATGTAAAAAAATTCTCCAACTGCTTTTACATAGATCTGGAAAAGTTCTTCTAGGTCATTGTTGGATCCTCTCATTATATTGGTGAAGACAAAGGTCCAGCAATGTGAAGTGATTTGCCTTGGGTCATGCTGTTGATTAACAACAGAGTTTGAACTAAAATCATGATTTTTGGCTTCAAATTCAGAGCTATTTCTCCTAGTTTCCACTGCTTCTCTTTAAGAGGATGCAGCCAGCATTAAGGGAAGACAATAAGAGCCCACAGTGATCCTGTTGAATTACACCTCAGCATAGTTGGCCTGAGTTTCCTGACTTTGGAAGAAGTCTTGCTTACAGGCTGCTCAGGAAGCAAAGTCCAGACATTCATTGTAAATGAGAATGGGAGTCAAACTGACTTGACTTTTCTGATTCTTCTCACTAATTCAAACAAAAGCCTATATTCACTGGTAATTTAGGCAGTACAGCCCTGATGTTCCAGGTAGAAGAATGCCCTTGTTGTTATATTAGTAATGTTATATTTGACTTGTTTTCTGATTCTGGTTATACATGCTAATTTTGTTTTCCTTTGGGTCTGAAAAAAAATTATACAAAACCCTTGCATTATTGGTAAAGAAAGTAACTGATTAAGTGTCGACATATTTAATCTGCAAGAAAAGCCATCCAACCATTTAATTTTTCCCATCCAAAATATTGACAAATGCCATAATGGATCAACATGATACAATTATCATTGTAAATAATTTTTAAGGTAGCAAATCTCTGTTTCTAATATTGTAACAAAAATCTCATGTACATTCACTACATGAATCCTAAAAGCTCTGAGCTCATGGAATAATTTTGAAAGAGTAAGCACAAAATAAATTTGAACTCAGATGTGATTACCACAAGCTTGTAGTATAAAAATGAAGTGCAAACATATCTGGATCAAAATTAAAAATTGAAAACATTGTAAGAATAAATCATATAATGTAAATAAAAAGTGAGCAGAAAATTACTGTTTAAAAGATGACATTTTCTAACTGCTTCCACCAAATTGAATCTAGTATCTGACTTTCTTCTTCACTGAACATAAATGTGAAGCTAGGATTATTCGATGAATGATCTAATATTTATTCTTCTGCACTTCGGTTTTTAAATTTATTGCAGATTTCCCAGCATTTAGAAAATGATTATTTTTTCCACATGTTAACTCCTTAACCAAAATGACCTTTCTTGTCTATGAAAAGTGTTTTGGATTTATTTTCTTTCCTGAGCTTTTAAAAGTGAATATCTAAATAACTGCTGTCTCTATTTTGTAGGCATACATACCCCCGTGATCATGAGTCTGACTCCAAATCAATTTATAGCAAATCACCCATTTCTGTTCATTATGAAGAATAACCCAACAGGTATGTTTCTGGAAAATTCTTTGCGGTACTGCCTAAGTTAAGCTGCCAATTGGTGTCTACATATCTGAAATTATTTGTTCTTTCAATAGATGCTGTTAGGTATATATTAGGTACCAGGCATTGTGTTTTTAGGGAGGATGAGGGCCTAAAATAGGGTAATGGTAATCATGGCTTCCACCCTAGTAATTTTATGGCTAAAATGGAATGTAGCCAGTTTATATTCCTATCTCCAAAGTTGACACCATGCCAGCAGGTACGATAATTGACTAATAATGACATACAGGCTCAGAGAAAGGTATGTTTTGCCTAAGATCATGTAACTAGAAAATGGCAGAGTAGGAACTGAGGTTAGCTCTCTTTCTATGATATCACAATGGAATGGAAATAGATAGTTGTGGAGTTGAGAGAATAAGTGAGGGGTTGAATATAATTTTATATTCGATCAATCTGGGCAATTGGTGAAAGATGAGTTGGTTACATACAAAGAACACAAAAGATTCTGTAGTGGAGTAGATTGGCATTTGGCATACTGTTGACATATGGAAATCCAGATTACCTAAAGAGGTTTTGGCCCTTGCTTTTATGAAAGAGAAAGGCCAGGAATGTGAGTGCAGTGGGAAAATGGTCTCTAGGCATGTATATAGGACTCCACAGCAGTCATGATAGCCATGTGAGAGTCATAAACCCCAGGAGAGCAGAAATTATATTTTAATCAGCTCAGTGTTTGGCAAAATGCCTTGCAGAAAAACATCAGTGTCCCTAGAAGTTGAGAACATGGACTTACTTGGATGTCAAAAATTCCACCTCAATTAACTAGCAGTGGTTAGATATGTTGTTTATACTTTCTAAGCTACATTTTCTTTATTATCAATCTGAACATAATATCAGCACTCATGGGATTAAATATAGAGACACCTGAGGGGCTGGGAATGTAGCTCAGGGGTAGAGGGCTTGTCTGTCATGCAAAAGCCTGTGCGTTTGCTCTCCAACACCAGAAAAACAAACAAACAACAAACAGAAAAAAATATGTGAAGACTGTCATACTATGCCTGACACATACTAAATTTTCATAACAAATGAATCAATAAATTTAAATAAGTGAATGACTGAATGAATGAAGGAAGGAAAATTGAAAAAGTTTCTCTCTATAAACTGGTTTACAAGCAAAAGAGACATAGTTAATCTCAGAATCTGAATCTGTTAGATTAAATAGAGTCAGTGATACTGGTCCACTCAGGGATATATTAATATCTCTTTCTAACTCAATGAAACTAGTGCTGACTGATCCTTTTTTTTTTTTTAAGGTTTCAGATCATTCTTTTTTTTTATTTTTTAATTTTTTATTGTGGGTTGTTCAAAACATTACAAATTTCTTGACATATCATATTCCACACTTTGATTCAAGTGGGTTATGAACTCCCACCTTCACCCCATACACAGATTGCAGAATCACATCAGTTACACATCCATTGATTTACAAATTGCCATACTAGTGTCTGTTGTGCTCCGCTGACTGATCCTTTTGAAAGTTTTATCTCAGAGATAATGGAACAGTCTGAGAATTGCTGAGATTGTATTAATACAACTCCGATTCCAGCGGTGGATGTCAGTGTTCAAATACATTCTGAGTATGTCATTTGATCTATCTATCTTTAACCTTTGGATAAGTCTAATTTCTTACACTTACTATGTAATTATTGAGTATAAAGAAGAGAAAGAAATGAAGCTGCATTAAAGCACGTAAATAGTGACATTTAGAATAATTATGTTTGACTCTATTTTCCAAGTTGATGACTTATTATATTCTAAGGCTATGTAATAGCTTTTAGTAAAACAGCACTGAAAGCCCAAAACCCAAAATAATCCACTAATTTATTTATTTGTGATAATGTTTAACTATCAAACCTTAATGACATTTTCCACTGTTTTATGATCTTTATTGTAATGAGAGTTTCTAGAGTTACTCCTTTAAAGTATTATTTAAAACGAATGGCCATGCATGTATTAAGAGTTATAAATTGTTGTTATACAAAATGTAGAATAGGCTATTATCTTAAAATAATATACACTTAGTGACTTATCTATTTTTTCTCACAAATGAACTCAAGAAACCAGTGAGATTAACGAAGATGGTGATTTAGCATCACTACAGTGGACTATTAAAGGGCTTCAGGCTTTACATAAAATGCATTCAGTTGACTCTTTCTGAAGTGCGAGGATAAATGACTTTAGGAGGCTTAGTGCAACCAATTTTTATCTAGATTTAAATTTTTCTTTTGGCCGAACAGCCCTCTTGTGCAAACTCTATATATTATTTGGAGTTTCCTATCAGGCATGTTATACATTGCAGTATATTTATGTAAAGCTCTAAGTTAAACTTCCAGGAAAATGAAGAACTTTTTTTTTTCTTTTTCTAGGCTATGGAAGTAGGTTTGCTTTATAGACTTTGAGAAAATTGTGAAAGATGTTACATGAAATGTGCCATTTCTGAGAAAGCAGTGAATTATGATTTTGAAATAGAACTTCATACATAATAAAAATTATTGCATTGAGAACTCTTTCAGGCCTTTGGTCAAAGGGAGAATGGACTGTAGGATATGTAATTTTTTATTCTGGTCATTAACTTTGGTTATGCTATGGATTTTAATATTATGAGATAAAAAGTGCCCACATTTGACACAGCTGCGGCATAAATATGTTGATTAAAATGTTTTAAATGCTTCCTATTTTAAAAGGAGGCATGGAGAGGAAAAGAAGAAAAAGATAGTGGTTTCTGCTTTGCCCTACCTCCCAAGTCCATTGCTATTATGTCAGGAGACATTTCAGTAATCTCTCCAATTTAGTGATGACTGGATTGGTGACTGTGTGAAGATTTGATTCAAAATGTGGTCTCATTGGTGAAAGAAATGGATTGAGAAGGCTGGGACAAATGGCTGTGTGCAATGCCCTGCACTTCTGAATGTCTAAATTTTTAAACTATGGCTTCAATTATACGATCAGTGTCTGTGAAAGTGACTTTAAAGAATTCCCAAACAATTCTGAAAAGCACTTCATGCCAAAGCATAATGAAGATACCAGAGTTACTGCTGGTTCCTAGTGTGACTAAATGTATCATTCACCCTGGGAAAAGGGTATGTGTATCTTTATCTCTCTGAAAAATAGGGGTATTTACTTTCTTTTTCCCAGAATAATTTTAAGATTTTGAGTCAAGGCATGATTGAGTATAATTATTTATAAAAAGAAAAATAATACCTTGGATATTTTATGTCTATTTCCACATTATTGGCCCTTCTACAAGTGTGTCTTTTGACCGAACAGGGAAGAGTTAATTAAATAGGGCTCTCCCACTATAATGTCAAATACATTTGAATATATCATTTTAATTAGCTTTCAAAGGATACAAAATCTATTTTATCTTTCTTGAAATTAATCTTTATTACATCCGACTATAAGGAATTTATTTGACATTGACCTCTAGCCACTTTCCTTTCCCCATTTTTTTAAAAAAAGGTGAATAGATTTGATACATCATTTATTTCTACTTTGCCCTCTACTTTTTTGTTCCTTTTCACTTGCAAACACAGAATGTCTGGAAACAGGTGTTTGCATTTATGCTCTATACTATATCATCTTTGTGAGGGTTTGAAAGTAGTTGCGATATGAAAATATTGTCTTTAGCAGGAAAGTAAGCTTTGATTCAGAGCTGAAGGGGGAGAACTGGTGAGATGCACTTTTAACCCTGAGGCTTACATTACGTGCATGAGAGATGACTGCTGATGCCTGCGATTTGAAACTCCACTGTGCTCATCACCATTTTATTATGCTATGTTTGCCTGACTGGATCTCTATATTTAGAAGAGCACTTCTCTCTCACTTTATTTTTGCTTTCCTACATGAAAACCAGTGCTAATGCCATTTCCATGATGAGATGTGGTGGAAGTTAATTTTCTTCATAAATTACCAGAAAATGATTAATAATGATCTAGTTATGTATTTTAGACAAAGAAGAGGGTTCCGTTATTAGACATTGCCTATAGAGAAAAAGACTAAATGATTCTTAAAATATTAAAAAATATTTTTCTTCAGAAATACCTAAAGTGTGTGTGTGTATGTATTTTTTTTTCTTTTCCTAGAATCAATTTTGTTTATGGGAAGGGTGACAAATCCTGACACCCAAAATGTGAAGAGAAGAGACTTAGATTCATTGTAAATGAGAAGCACAGCCTCAGAATACAAGAGTGTTCCTGGAAAAGAGTTGATTTGCAAAATATCATCAATTTGAAAATATCTTCTTGGTATCATTTTTCTGTTTAAAGCTATGCCTGTATTAACCTATATTAGTATAGCCCTGTATTAATGAGTAAGTGAACTCAGATACGTGTTTGTTTCTTTTTTTTCCGAAGGTTTTATAAAACCTATATGAATCAAAAGCAGAGAGCTTACATAAAAGATAACTGTTAATGCTAGAACAATCCTAAAATCACTTAAATATCAAAGTCCTGTGTTGGATACCAAATTCCCCACATTCCTAGAAGACTGGTCTATCACATCCCCAAACATTATCCAGCCCAAGGGGAGGTAAAAATCAAGGAAGCCTGGGCATGGTGTATGCCTGAGATGCAGCTTAGGACACTGAGGCTCAGTATCTATGAGAGTCGACAAACTTTGGGTACTTTTAATCTTCACTTGTTCTTCCAGGTGTGGCATTTAATGTCAGCCTTGCTTCGATACTGCTTGGAACATATCATTTTTTTTTCCTGCTGATTTATGCTTTAAACATGTACAGAAAGTGGAAATGCTAAGAACTTTTATAGAGCTTTTCTAGTTGCTTAGGCAAAAGTGGCAGCCAAATTAGCGTGATTCAGGAGGGTAACCTTCCACCATCCTATAATACCAAGCTAAGGAAGTGCTAAAGCCAAGCATGTACTATATAAAGATTAAAAGCAGAACCTTTCCTCTGAATACCTTGAAATATCTTATCTGCACATCAAAAATAATACTACATTACCATATGACTTCATGTGACTTGCTTCATAGTGTTTTTTTTCCCCCATTTTCTTGCTAACAGTGTAAAATGTTTTTTGTTTGTAATGGCAATTTTGGGCAGGGACCTTACTGATAATTTCTACCTCTTATTGAGCCCTCATTATGTATCTGGTAATTTATGGACATTATGCTAAATATGCCCTAAATTCTATGAAACAATTTACCTTTCTTTCAGATAAAGAAACTGAGACTCAAATAAATTATATAAATCAGTCAAGGACACAAAATAAATTACAGAAATACGGTGGGTAGATTTGAACTCGAGTCCATTTGATCTAGAAGACCCACTGTAGGGAAGGAAGAAAATAATTTTTCCTTTACTCTTCATAGTTCTTAGTTGGGACCTTCTGTAGCCAATGAGAGATTAACAATAGAAAAACAGAAGTTTTTAACATTTATATTTCATACTTATGTGAAAGACACCCAGGGGAAAAAATTGAAAAACCTCAAAGATGAGGCTTACACAGCATCTTCCATAAAGAACAATACCATCTTTTGGAATTGACAAGACAAAAGAAAAGGACCTTTGCTTTGTAGGGGTGGAAAATTGTGGGAAGGCAAATATATCATAGATAAAGCCTAGTTAGTACAGTTTTTTTAAATAGATGTCTGTGGTAATATCCCCAGTCTGATAAGTATCTGCAGTTGTCTTCAATGATCAACTTTTGTCATTCCTGATAGGAGAATGGGAACACTTTTGTAAATTTGTGTCCTGTTTTTAGGCAAATTTAGGGAGGGCAGAGAGGTTGTATTTTACCTACTTATTCTCAATTGCCTTTAGTTCAAAATAATACTTATGCCAGAGTGGCATATTTTGGGGTGGCACACTCTGCTACATTTCTCCTTCTATTTAAGTGTAGTCTTCAAAGTCTAGGTATCACATACATCAAAGCCTAGAATAATACTGTAAGATAGTATGAAGACAACTTTAAGATTGTGATTGCTTAAATCCATAACACAATTAAAAATAATGTCCATTCCTCTACTGTCAACTCAAGATAACTGACATATAACATAGTAAAGACTAATCTGTATGATAATGCTACACTAGACATTTGTGGCATAAATATCTAGCTCTTCCTTATGAAGGAACTGGTTTAAAAATACACTTTGTTGATTCAGAAGAAGAGAATGAGTTAAGACGAGAGTGATTTTATTCAGTGTGGTACAGGTTCCTGTTTCCTTGGATTGCCTGAGTTCCTCTTCCATGTATCATTGGTCTGCTCTGGGGCTTCATTCATTCACAAATATTATTAACATAGTAGTGAGGATATTAATTGAGCTTACAGGAGGTTCCAAGGCAGTGTTCTAGATACTGGAGATATGCCAGTGAATATAACTTACAAGATCTGTGCTCTCACGGAGCTAACATCATGTTGGTGATAAGCCAGTGAAGAAACACAAAAACAAGTTAATTCAAAATCCTGATAAATGATGACATTAATAAAGCAAGATAGGAAAATAAAAGGAGTTTTAATAATTGAGATGACACAATTAGGTGATGCCTGTGTTTCTATTTAAGAGCATGTTCTTACAATGTATTCCTAACATATTTGCTTTTCTTTAGTAAGGTTTGCTAAATGTCTGATTCAAATTTCCAACTATTGAATTTGACTGAATTATATGAAACTTTTGATTATTTTATTCTATGATTTCACAGTCTTCATGTGGTCTGTTATTTAGCTGAAAAAAAATGAGAGTTTAAGTTTTTATGGAAGAAAGAGTAGTTTTCTGGTGTAGGTTCAAGGTAAAAATCTCTAGAAACAGTTGCCCAAGCACTTCCCAAATTAACACCATTAATTTTCACCTCCAGTTGCAACTAACATTATATTTCCATATCATGAGGTTAAAATGCCTGGAATATATTTATAAAGCATATATCTAATGCTGGGCATAGTGGTACATGCCCATAATCCCAGCAACTCAGAAGACTGAGGCAGGAAGATGCAAATTAGAGGCCAGCCTCAACAATTTAGCAAGACTCTAAGCAATTTAGTGAGACACTATCTCAAAACACAAATTAAGAAGGGCTGGGGATGTGGTTCAGTGGTCAAGTGCTCTGGGTTTAAATCCCTGGTACGAAACACACACACACACACACACACACACACACACACACACACACAAAACATATATCATTCAATGAAAGAAAATAAGTATGAAATAATTTTCTTGGCAAAAAAAATCTTTGCACAATTTTTAGGATATATTATCTATATGGGATAAAATGTTGAAAAATTCATATACATATATCTCATATATATCTTTCTTCCTGAGGCAAAATGATCATTCGGGGAGTAGAATTCCAATGGAAACTTTGGAATTGAATATATTTGACATCATATATTTATAATTCATGACATTTTAGAGGAGTCTGCTGTATGACATATTTTAGAGGCAGTGAGAATCAGGAGCTCTAAGGCCTGAGATAAGAAACAATTTCTTCTTTTGGGAGAGGTATATGAAATTCTCCTGAATTGAATAATAAAGAGCTAGAAACCTTGAAAGATACAGAGAAAACTTTAGGCAGGTTTCATTAGAATTCAGTGCTTTGGACCCTTGAAAATCAGACATTTCCTCACAATATGGCCTCCAACCACTTGAATTCATTCTCTGAGGGACCCTGAGATGGGCTCCATACAGATGGTGGAGAGGTGGGTGTTCTTTAATCTTTGTGCTTGCTAGGAGCAATTTTTCCATCACATCTCTCTCCCTCTTTTCTTCCCTGGTTTCTTATGTGATAATGTGTGAATCTGAAGCCTGATATTGAAGAGGTAAAATATCTAGTTTCTTTCTTCTTTTGATGCCTGAGGTGACCACCCTGATGGCGTAGTATAAAGGAATTGAAAGAGGAGATACTTTTTACTGTCTAACATTATACTTCTGGGCTTGTTACCGCAGTTCTCTGGGTGCTTTAGTGTTCTCACCTATACAATGAAAGGTTAGACAAATACTATGTAAAGTCTTTATTCCAGATGCCCATCGTTGTAAATCTTTTGACTTCACAGTAAAGAGGCATCTTTGAAATGATGTCTTTTGAGCCACTACTGTACATAAGCAGAATTTTCCCACAAAACAATATAAATTCCAGAATGTGCCTCTCACTAGGATCTTGGTCCAATGCATTATTTATAGTTGTCTATGGGTTTGAGATTTAATTTTTAAAACCAATGCTTGTAGGAACATTTTCACTATTGTGGTAGAGACCTCTGTCTCGTAAAGGTTTTTGACTATGGATTCACAATGTAGGCCTGTGCTGGGCAGTGTCAGCCTAGCCAGGGACTTCGCTTCATCCATGCTTGCATTTTTCCAAGTGGAGCTTAGTAACTGGTTCTCATCAGCAGAATGTGAAGGCAGGCCAGTTCATCCCTTGTGAGCTCAAATGGTGAAGAAACAACCATAGCTCTCCACTTGCTCTCTTATCCAGCCATTCTGATGCCAACGTGACCCTCTAATTCACGTCTAGAAGATGACAGATCTTCTGTTAGCCCCAGTTCTTCTATGAATGTGTGCCACAGAGATCCTCTGCAGCCTGACCTCAAATCAGCCAGGAATTCCTGCATCGGGTAGTCTTTGGGTAGATACTGGGCCAGTATTTACGTAGTCTGCTTTCCAAGTTATTATTGGCAACCATTTTTTTTTAATATTTCCAGTTTAATAAGCTTTCCTTTCTTTCAACCTGCTATAGTTTGTGTTAGGTTGGTAGTATTGTTTTTGCTGTCCAGCTTCAAATTATACCACATACTCTGTGTTATACACCTGTTAGAGGTACCAAGTTAACACTAACTCTTGTCACAAATAATCTCTCAAATACCACAAAAATAGATCTCTGCTCATGTAATCCTCCTGTTTCAGCCTCCCGGTTGCTGGAATTACATGTATGCGTCACGGCACTTAACTCAAACAGATTTTTGATTAATAAAAAAATTATTCCCCCTTGCAAGGCATGAGTACATGGCCTTGCTAATAATATTTAAAAGCATATGCTTCAATGCTTCACAGAAAATTACAGAAGAAAAGCTGATCTGAGCAAGTTCTCAACAGGCATCTGCAGAGACCAAAACGGATTTTCCTCTGGATTATACACACTCATTGGTTTTAAATTATTTAGTTGTCATGATTTGTGTCACACTATTCATATTCTTATATCCATCAAGGTATTCAGAGCAAAACTTCTCACAGGTTTCCTCTTTCGTAAATAACTATAGCTTATGTTTAGAAAGATCTTAACAATTTTGAGTGATATGTAGTGTCTTTTATAATCCTCACATGTCTTTCACATCCATTATAAAAAGAGGAAATTGATTTTCCAAAAGGTTAAGGGGATTTGTTCAAGGGTCATA